GGGGGGGAGTTGACATAAGGGCCAGTGGCCACCAGGAGGAGCCCGCAGCGCCGGGAACTCGGGGGAGCTGGGGCTGGGGAGCCAGGGTGGCCATCGGGGTGGCATCAGGCCTGCTGCTGCTCTGAGGGGGTCCCTCGCTTTCTCCCCACAGTTCAACTACATGCACGAGTGCTTCGAACGGGTTTTCTGCGAGCTCAAGTGGAGGAAGGAGGTAAGAGCCCGGAACCGTAGGGAAGTGGCATCTTTTCGGAGAGGTCCTTGGCAGCGACTCGTACCGGGGGTAATCGGATGCTTGGAGCCGCGGTTCCGAGTCTCCAGGGAAAGGCTGGCTTTCTGAGGCCTTGGCTCTGCGGGTGGAGGGGGTTCTCATGCTGGAGCAAGGATCTCCCAGCTGGGAAACCTTGAGCAGGATAACCAATTCCCAGGCTGCGCCCGGTCGCTTCCGTCTGCAGACGGCAAAGCATCCGCGCTCCCCTCCGGAGAGATTCTGCGGATCGCTGACTTATTGAGGGGGTTGTGAGACCCTCTGGGAAAAGCTGCTGAGTGCAGGGAAGTTTGGGGCTGAATCCCAGCCTTTTCCTGCCTAAGCCTCGCCCTGCGTGTGGCTGCCGAATCGCCATCCCGTGTCCCGGGGGACGTTGCTGTCCCTCGGGGGGTCACAGATAAGCAGCTCTTGGATTTCGGACCCTCTTGTCGCTCTGATCCGGTCAGGGCTGTTGGTGTCACCCCACTCTCGCCGCCGTCTCTGCCAGCGGATGGATTTGGGCGCCTCAACCGGAGCTCAAACCCGGCACGCCTGGAATGGCACCCCGGGAAGGTCTGCCCTGAGGCTGCCTCCTTGTGGAGGCTCCTAAATGGGAATGGTGCCTCCCTACCTGGAAGTTTTCTTCCCGCTGGGCACCGGGGCAGGGGGGCTGGTGCTCCTCCTCAGCGTGGCTGGCATCCAGGGCTGGCACCGTGCCGGCTGCGAGAGGCTTGTTTGGAGACGTGCCGAGAGTGCGGGGTCGGGACCGCGGCAGCCGTGCTCACCGGAGGATGGTAACAGCGGGATGGAGGGAGTGTAAGCCTGGAAGTGGTTTTCAGGGAATGAGGAAATGGGATTCTTGGCTTGCCTGAGCTGGTGGGTGGGCACTGAACCTTCTGCGAGTGACCAGCAGCCTCCGAGCGCCCGGCCCGCCCGTCTCTCCGGAGGCTT